TTTTTAAAATTAAATTATTATATTTTTAATTTTTGAGAATTGATACTATAAATATTTTATTTTTAATAAAAATTAACAAATTTTATTAATTTAGAGATTAAAATAAAAATATTATAATATAAAATAATGAATTAAAAATTTTAAATTTATTAAAATAAATAATTAAATGTATATTTTAACCTAACATGTCCCCATTGCTGATTTCTATTTAAACGAAAAAGGAAAGTGGCAGGATCTATCTTTTCCTCTCGGCCGCCAGAGTTAGTACGCGGACAGAGTCGGCAGGCCCACCATATTACCCTTTTTTATTTTTTTGGAAATTTTATTCAATCTTTAAATACCTAATTTTCAATTTTCCTTATGTGGTCCGGCCTAATTGCCCACTCAAACCCATTCAAATAAAAGCTGTCTCAATTGCAATGACTTGGTTATTTAATTTGCTACGCGCTGTAGAGTTGATTTCACACGTGGAATTGACTTTTTATCATTCCATGACGCGTAAACACAATCCTGAAATCAATAGACACATCGAAGTGATTTTGTACGTAAAAGTTTAATAGTATTTTTTATTGGTTAAAATTTCATTTTGGTTCCTAAATTATTATACGGACTTTTAATTTGGTTCTTAAATTAAAAAAATCCCTGATTTGATCTATACTATTTATCATTTTGACCCCAATTTAATTCTTCTGTTAAAAACTCACTGCTACGTCATGACAATTTAATAACATGTCAAACATTTGAGACACGTTAGTTGTATAAATGAATAAATAATGACATGACAATATGACACGTTATATTTTTGCCCAAGCCAACAAAAGTGGAGCCCACTAAAATTATGAATCTGCTATCATCTTCTTCCTCCAACAAATAAACCCAGCACGTGGGTTGAATCAAACTTAACAAGCGTCCTTTTTTTTTCCTTCCTCCTCCTTGCCTTGCTTTTTTCATCATTATCAAACAACCAAACCCACAAAAAAAAAAAAAAAAAAAAAAAGTGACAGGATCGATCTATTTCTCTCGGCCGCCAGAGTTAGTACGCGGACAGAGTCCGCAGGCCCACCATATTCCCCTTTTTTATTTTTCTGGAAATTTTATTCAATCTTTAAATTAGATACCTAATTTTCAATTTTCCTTATGTGGGTCGGCCTAATTGCGCACTCAAACCCATTCAAATAAAAGCTGTCTCAATTGCAATGACTTGGTTATTTAATTTGCTACGCGCTGTAGAGTTGATTTCATACATGGAATTGACTTGATCATTCCATGACGCGTAAACACAATCCTGAGATCAACAGACACATCGAAGTGATTTTGTACATAAAAGTTTAATAATATTTTTTATTAGTTAAAACCTTATTTTTGGTCCCTAAACTATTATACGGACTCCCGATTTGGTCCTTAAACTAAAAAAGTCCTTAATTTGGTTCCTTTTTTTTTTTTTTGTTACATATGAAGAAAAATTAACTAAAAAAGTCCTTAATTTGGTTCATACTGTTTACCATTTTGACCCCGATTTAGTACTTCTGTTAAAA